TCAACAATTCGACACAAAAATTCAGATAAAGATTTTCCATGTACACACAAATGAGTTCTCGTCTTTAGTCGACTAGCGGACTGCATACAGTTAGGCTGTGGCGATGTTAGACAAATTTTTGCAGCTGCTACTAATTTTCTGCGTAGCACTGGTGCTAACCAGCGCTGGCAGCTATGAAGGGTAATTCATACTAGGAAAGACACTTAAGTTCGTAAGCTTAGTTTGCAAATCTCTCTATATTTGCAGCTACAAAGTGTATGAAGTTAAAACGCATACGCCTGCGCAGAGAGACAATTTGCTGGCAGTTGCAAGGGAAGCTGGCGACAAATACGACTTTCTTTCTTTAAGCCGTAATTTCAATCAAAGCGCAAGAATACTTGTCTCAGGCGCATACGAGGCGAGCTTAAAGGCTTTACTGCAAGAACATCATCTAACGTTTGAGTTACGAAATTCGAATTTCGAACGCACGCTACAAGCTGAAGTGTTGCAGAATCGCATGCTACGTCAGTCGAAACCCTATGCCGGCACCGGACGTCTTAGCACCGAACGTTATTATTCGCATGAAGAAATCAATGCCTATCTAGACGATTTGGCAGCGCGCTATCCATCACGTGCATTCGTCAAAATTGTTGGTAAGTCATATGAAGGCCGCCTACTCAAGAGTATAACCATAACAAATGGCGATGGACGCAATGGGAAGAATGTGATTTTCATTGATGGTGCTTTTCATGCACGCGAATGGATTTCGCCGGCAACGGTGGTTTATTTAATTGGTGAACTTGTTGAAGATTTCGGAGAGCATGTTGAGCTTTTAACCGACTATGATTGGGTTATATTGCCGGTCGTGAATGCCGATGGTTATGAGTACACGCAATGGGCGAGTGAGTTCAGACTTTGGCGTAAGACGCGTCAACCTGTCGAGGTAGATGGCACAGTATGTTATGGCACCGATCCGAATCGCAACTTTGACTTTCACTGGATGGAATTGGGTGCTTCGTCGAATCCTTGCTCGAATATCTATGCTGGACCGCGTGCATTCTCGGAGCCCGAGACGGTGATAGTTCGTGATATTATGCATACACTGCGTGATCGTGGCATACTCTATTTGACGGTGCACTCGTATGGCAAGGCGTTATTCTACCCGTGGGGTTGGGGACCGTGAGTGTTGAAGATTCGTGTTTTTTATTTTTAACTATTAACAATACCTCAAACTTCTGTATGTTGCAGTGAATTACCGGATACGTGGGAGGATTTGCACGAAGTGGCTTTAGCCGGCGCCGATGCTATACGCGCATACAGCGGCACTGAATACGTTGTCGGTTCATCGACTGCGTTGTACGGTGAAGCCGCTGGCGCCAGCGATGACTACGCCTTCAACGATGGCTTCACACTCTCCTACACTATGGAATTACCCGATGGTGGCAGCAGTGGTTTCGATCCACCAGCGTCTGATATCGATCGTTTGGTTAAGGAAACATGGGTGGGCATTCGCGCTGTAGCCAAGAAAGTAACGGAAAAATACTCCGCACGAAAAGTGAATTTGTAATTTATGCAGCAGTCTAAGCGATAAGGTGAAATTGAACTATATAACTCTTATCTGTTATTTTTTGTGTTATAGTAGTGTGCCAAGAATTTAGCAATAATAAAAAACATACAGTTACTATTGTCGTTTCGAAGCTTATGGCCTTAAACTTCACAGCTAAAAGTAGCTATTGATAATGCGCCTCGTGAAGGTAAATTGCACGGCTATGGAATTAATTGCGTTACACGTTTTTGTGTTGCAGAAAATGAGGGCGATGCCCGGAAGCCCTTCGCTGCACTAAGTCCATGAAAATACTAAAATGTTTAGTAATTATTTCAAGTGCAGTCGAGGCTTTTTAATTAGAAATACGGAAATGACAGCAATTATGTTTTTAGGTTGATTTGGAAAAAGGTTGAGGTGAACTGGTAAATTGGTAGCCCAATCGTGTGTGGCTAACTTAAAAATTTCCAAAAACAAAATATATTATTTGATTTGAAATTTTCTTTATCAAAGTAGGAAGTACGAAGAACGAATTTTTGGCACAAAAACTGCTAAAAAATGGTGGTCCCAATTTTTCTATTTTGTACCAATAGGCCACAATAAAGAAATTTACAAATTTGTACAAACGGACTTTAGAATTTAAGTTCGAAACTTTAGGTATTGCTTTCTTGTTTTAAGCTCAGTACGGTGTAGAAAATACCGATAGAAAACTTTTTAATATACCAAGTTTCAATAAATGGACTAAAAATTAGAAAATATTATTTTCTACTTACATCAACAGAATTTGTCTTAATAAGTTTTGATGTTAAAATTTTAGCAAAAGTCATTATAAATAATTTATGAGATTTCATGTGAAAAACGTTTTTTATTTGATTTTTTCCTACTTTTTAGTCGTGTCCGTATAAAATTTCAATATTTACTACGTTCATTTCTTTGTACACTATTCAATGTTTTTTAAATTAATTTTGTAAAGTTTTGGATAATTTTTTTGACATTTATTTTTTACAACATACGGCCCATTATGGAAAACTATAAGTAAAGATGTTGAAAACATAAAAAACTGAAAATTTTGTGAAAGGTATTGAAGAAATTTTTAGGTTTTAAGGCAAGCCTTCCTTTAAAATGAAAATCATCCACCATTTTTATGAAGGCTTCTTCGAACTTCACTTTCTGATGAAGAGTTTAGAAGGAATATATACATAGGCTAGCTTAACGTTAATAAATCTGTAGTATGTAGTTTATCTGAATGGCAGTAAAGTGCTATGTCGATGCAAAGTATATGCGGAATCTTTAAAAATTTCAACTATAAATCGCGTGACGTCTTTCATTCTTCATGCCTTGACTTTAATAAACATTTCAACCTCATCGATACATCAGACTACTCAGTATCACAGAATTCTGTGAAAAAAAAACTTTGAAAATAAATTTAAAAAAGGTTCAAGAATATTGCAATAGCGGGAAAACAGTGGTACCAGCTTAAGTGACTCAGAGGTGAACCAAAGAGTTCGCCACGCCAAAAATCGTCTATGAAATCCATGGAATGATATTGAACGACCGGAGAATGAAAGGGTGTGAGGTGGCTGAGGTTGAGGTTGAGGCTGTAAGTATATGAAAAAGCTATGCGCGTGATGTGTGCTGCGCTCCCTCACACTCTCGACCATAAATGCAGCCGTATGATCACTTCAAATTAGTGTTTGGCAATGTTCGGCCGAAATCCGAATCAGTTTTTGCACAGTTTCGTAGACGTTGGTGAAACATGGATCCACCGCAATACACCAGAGACCAAGGAACAATCAAGAAGTGCACCAAAGAAGGACCAAGTGGGTATTTCGGCCAATAAAGTCATGACCACAGTTTTTTTTTTTGGGATGCAGGCGTGGCCATTCACAAGGGCTCAACCCTAAAATTTTTGTTAGGTGTAATGCTTGCAATATAAGCTGATTCAACAATAAATACGTGAACAAATAAAATTTTTAATGTAATAAATTAAATAATTATCATGCATTAAAATTTAGGGGAAAACCTACTATTTGCAAATACGCCGTGAAGAAGTGCACATATTTTGAGTATATGTACATATGTATATCGTACAATTGCTGCTAGAGTTTCATAATAAAAGAGGAATAATTTTTGAGTTAAGCATGAGCAATGACCGACAGTGCCTCTTCTGCGTTGTGTAAAAATTTTATATCTGTTTCGATTAACAATAGCTTATTATGAGGAAATGTGTCGTACATTTTACTATGGCAATGCATGGGAGAGTATGTATGTATGTAAACTGTAAACTAAAAAAAAAAAATCATTTTTCTCGAATTTTTATTTTTTTTTTTGGATTATGACACTCGTGCAGCAAAGGTACAATATATACTGTGTATACAAACACACATCCAAGAGACTACCTGAATTATAAAGATACAAAATTTGTATTAAAAAAAACGTGGCAGTCCTCATCGAAAAAATTTCTGGATTAAAGTTTTTAAAATAGCTTCCCATTGATTTCCATATTGCGCTTTTTCAGTTAAATGGTGTTGAATCGAAAATAAGTGGCAACGCTCATGAAAATATTTCTGAACTGAAGTTCTAGAAAATATTTTTCATTTGATATACATACATATATCGTTGTTTTAGTTAAATTTTACAGAAGCGTATTCTAAAAAAATCTGCCAAACCGTATTGAAACTATTTCTGTATTAATGTTCTCAAAACTATCTCTCATTTGATACCCATATTAAGTTGCTTTAGTAAAATTTTGTAGCATCGATAATAAGTGACAATCTTACACTTATATCGTAAGCGATGCTACTTAATGTCTTTTAGAATGCATTAAATCACATAAATATATGATGGAAAATAGGTGGCAACCCTATTCAAAAATGTCTTCGAATTGGGAATTTTCACCACTTAAGTAGTACTGTTGTATATCATACAGAGAGTGGCGGTTGCATCTAGAAAACTCTGTAGGAATCGTTGGACACTACAGATAGGCGCGGGACATTGAATTTTTAGGTCCCGAACTCGTCCATCCCGATGGTTTTCAGATTTGTACCGCGAGTCACGTGGTTCCTAATATCTATCACTAAATAAAATTCACATGGCTTTAAAATTCATTTAAAATCATTTTCTTGAATAGCCTGTTCTCGAAAATTCTACTTTCGCCTTGCTGTACGTCCGCAACTTTTGAAAGACCTTCCCGATACCGCACATCCCATCAATTTTAAAATTAGTACCGTGGGTCGCGCGAGTTCCGGTATCCTGTGCCCATTTCTATTGGACACCCACTGATAAACTTTTTAACGGTCTCCTTTTATTCAGGATCCTGCCAGCCGCAGGATTATCTAATGACTGTCTTCGGTAGCCTCCTAGTTAGTAGGAAGTTATTTTATTTGAAAAAATTAAAACAAAAATTTGTTATTCAACGATTTAACTATTTTCACAAATTACTATTTATTTTACTTTCAAGTATTCTGTTATCCTCTCAATACATCGTTTAAAAACTTAATAGCTTTCTATTACCTTTTCCGCCATAGCCTTGATACCGATCCAAGTTTCGGAAACCAACTCTAGGATCTTGGTTGGTGCTGGGTCAAAACCATTACCGGCTGCAGGTAATTCCATTGTAATTGAAATGGGAATTTCAGCCGCGGCGAAAGCATAATCATCACTACCACCAGCAGCGGCATACAGAACATTCGTTGAGCTACCCACTGAGTAAACGGTGCCGGTAGCAGCTTTGATGGCATCATAACCGGCCTGAGCTACCTCATCAAGGGCGCGCCAGGTATCAGGAAGATCACTAAATAGATTTAAATATATGAACAATGACGAACCCAGGCTAAAAAAAAAAATCGCTATATCAATGCTTACGAAGTCCAGCCCCATGGGTAGAGCAGATAGTTGCCGTACGAGTGCAGGGTGAGATAGAAGGTTGCACGTCCGGTGAGTGTGTGCATAAGATCGCGCAGAGCTTGGGTCTCAGGCTCAGAGAAAGCAGTCTTGCCCTTGAATGTATCTGCGCATGTATAGCTGGAAGCGCCCACTTCACCCCAGTGAAAATCGAAGTTGCGATTACCATCTGTACCATAGCAGTTAGTACTTACTGGCTTGCGAGTCTTACGCCACATACGGGTGGTGGTGTGTGTGTATTCATAGCCATCAGGATTGACCACAGGTAAAATAACCCAATCGTAGGTTTGCAAAAGGTGTGCATTTTCAGCAAAGTTCTCCACCAACTGTTGGATGACGTACAAAGCGCCAGCCGGTGCGATCCATTCACGTGCATGAATGCCAGCATCGAGTAAAATTACTTTCTTGTTGGAAACGCCATCGCCGTTGGTGATTGTAATGGTGCGCAAAGCGCGTCCTTCGTACGACTTGCCGATGGTCTTCAAGTAGACGCGGCTTGGATAGTCTGCGGCCAGCTGTTGAAGATAGGCATCGATGGCTTCATAACGCTGATAGGCGCTGAAGGAAATGCTACGCTCGTTGGAGCTGCGCAAATTGCGGAAGAAGTTATTTTGCATGCGCTCTGTGGCAACGGTTTCACCGAAGTTTTCGTTGATGATTTGGTGTTCGATTTCAGATGCCTGGAGTGTCTGCTCAAAAACTGACTGTTCTTCTGGTGCGACCATAACGCGTGCGGCGAGACCCAATACGCGGGGGTGGGTAAAGAAGTCGTATGTCCCACTCTCGGCCAATTGCTGCAAAATTTCCTGCTGCGCAGCATTTTGAGGCTTGATATCGTAGATCTTGTAGCTGTTGGGAGCGAAAGTATGATTTTCCTTTTTGGTTTTTTGTTTTTCACTTATTTCTTATTCCACCACTACTCACCCTTCATAGCTGGTGACCTCGGCCAGCACAGCGGTGCAGCACAAAGCGGCTGCCGCTATAAACAATTTAAAGAACATTTTAATTTTCGCTTTCAATAAGAGTACAGTCGTTAATGAAACCACACGACCTATTAGGGCTATTCGCCATTCGGTGCATAAGAGCTGACAAATTTATGCAATTGCAGAAATATGCCATGGATTGTGAGCGACGTTTATTAAACTGTCATGGTAAAACTTTTTTAATCAGTTGATAGAAATGTCAACCAGAGTTGCAATGCATAGCATTTTTATGCTATGGATTTTCGGTATTGCAAATTTGTCAAACCATGACAAATGCAAATGCGTGTATTTTGTTTGTGTATTGCAAATAATTTGCAATACAAATTTGCAATGCAATGATGCTAGGCCATTTGCACCGGATCGCGAATAGCCCTATTGTAATTTGCCTACCGCAGTAGTTGGCTTTTTATAGCGTGTTCTGGCATTTTAGTTGTTGATATTGGAAGTATACTTGAAAATATGCGCTCGTACAAGCTAATTTACAAGCGTCAAAGTTTCGACAGTCATATTTACTACGCGCTCTGGCTTGTTATCTAGTTATCAATGTTTTGATACAATTACCTATTTGGCTGCAATAAAAATCAAAATACTTTCGTAGATGCAGCATATTTTATTCATTGATTTTCTAGTGTACAAGTACGGGCATACGTACAAATATATCTGTCAACACATCTAATCGAACGTCTAAGCGAACGTCTTTATCAGTCACTCGTGTCGTATGCTCAGCGAATAGATAGCATCTCTGAAGTGGTGAGAAATTTGTGATCGCACATCAGAAAAATGAAATAGATTTATGGAATATCAAAACTTTAAAATTGATTATCGATAAAGTGGCCCAGACCTACATACATATGTATGTGTGTATGTATATGCATATGTATTTATATTAATATACTATATGTATGTATGTACATACATATATGCGAATGTGCGTTCAGCAGAACTGTATAGTAAATTTAGTCCCAATCGGATGACTTGATTAGACAGTAGGTTAAGTGCGCATATTTGAAATTTTTATACCCAATGCATGGATTTGAAAATGATGCATTGACAGAAATACTACCAATATACATACATTTATATGTCACATCAACATTACTGGGGTAATCAGTGCCGCTGATTAGGGTATCAGCCAAGCTGTCTGGGTGACCGTGTTTGCAGGCACAGTTTGTATCTCGAAAAAAAAATTGTGTTATCCCCAAGCAATTTGGTTGCCTGATAACTTGAAAGCAAATGCCTGGTATCTCGAAATAATTTGGTGTAAGATAAGGTTTGTTTATGGAGAAATGTACTCACACTAAATTACATATTATAGAAGAAATCAATACATATTTTCATATTGATAACTTTTGAATTTTAGAGTGATTCAGACGTTATTGCGGCCTTAAGACTTAGAGCGGTAGGTCCCTGTAGGGGGTTTCTAGAAATCGCTACGCTAAATTTTTATCACTAAAAGTCTCTAAATAAATAAAACATATCGAACCCTAACCGCATACACAGAGGAATGCAGCGGTTAAAGAATTTTTCAATATAATATATATACTAAATAATTATATGTATTTGCAATGGATCTTAAGCGAAAATTAGTTGTTTGAAAAATTTGTGGAAATTATGCGTGATCTGCTCTCTTATGTATGTCAAATGTGTGTGTCTCGCAAACCACTTCACGAGTCTGTACCAAATTTGATAAACAATTGCGTGTCACCTTCTTGAAAATTTTTAAAATTACCGCTTTTTATTTAAAGCTCTTTTAGCATTTAAGGAAAGTCATTCATACGAAAATGTATTTCTTCTTCAATGTATTTCAAATAATATTAAATACATGTAATTTATTTTTTTAAGATATTTTAACGTTGAATCGCATGGTTCCGGAGGTTTGCTGGCGTGCTCTCCGAGGGTTCCGCCACACTTGGATCCCATATATAGGAGAATAATTTTTTTTTCGAATTTAATTTACTTCTAATTATTAGATATTACTGTCTAAAAAGGAAAAAAAAACATGTGTGTATGTACATGTATCTTTTAATTTCCTTTAATTTTTAGAAACTGACTTTATTTTCTTATTTTTCTTTTAATTTTTTATTTAATTTTTTAATTTTATTGTTTAAAAAAAATGTTTTCTTAAACTTCATTTAATTTTCAGAAATATATTTTTTTTAGTTTTTATAAATAAAATTTTTCTAATTTTTAGACTAGGTTATTTTTAAAAGATTAATATATATGGGGTATTCTATCCGAACTTTACCTCCAATGCCGAGACGCAAACGATGATTGACGCTTCATATGACCGTGACGGTTAAATGAACACCACATATGATATCTTACCAGAACGTAGAATTTTCCGTTCTTTCCGAATTCGAGTTAAAAAAGGGAGGTTAATAGTTAAAAAACCATGTTGACCTCGAGATGACCTTGAAATTGACCCTCATGGAATTTTGCAACTCGGCATTGGAAAGCTTGTTTTTTTTAAATTAATTTTACATATTTTTAAAAATGTTTTAAGTTAATAAAAAAATGTGCAGAAAAATACCCCATATATTTTTAATTTGTTTATGTATATCCGATCAGTTTGTATATTGTGAAAATTTTTAGTTTGTGATAGGCTTGTCTGATCTGTTCTTTTAGTGTAAATAAAACCACGTTATTTCACTTACGGCCCAACGTTTCGCTAATCTTCTTAGCATCTTCAGGGGCGTGTTTTTTTATTATCTGTTACAAAAATATAAATACATACATATACATATGATAGTAAGTAAAGGAACAAATATATAAAAAAACAAAAAACTAGTACTGCGCTTCCACAACACATACGAACTACTGGGCACTCAGCAGATTTAGCAAACACAAAAATAATCGACATAGAAAAACAAGAAAAAACCAGATACACATTAGAAAGTTTAAGGATCTTGCAAAAAAGGGGAAACACAATAAACAAAAAAGAAGACACCGATGACATTTCTGCCGCCTACTTGTTATGCTTATAGAATTCAAATTTAGTTTTTAGTTTAGACAAAGCTACCACAGAAGGTGGTATGGATTAAGGTAGATTTAGTTAATTTAATGACGAATTTTATGTGAGTATTTTTTGTGTTCAATATCTCAGATGTTCTTTTGCAATTTTTATATGTACTTATGTATATGTATGTGTATTCGTTCCTTTACTTACTATCATATATATATATGTATGTATTTATATTTTTGTAACAGATAATAAAATAAACACGCCCCTGAAGATGCTAAGAAGATTAGCGAAACGTTGGGCCGTAAGTGAAATAACGTCGTTTTATTTACACTAAAAGAACAGATCAGAAAAGCGTATCACAAAATAAAAAAATATTTTTAATTCGATTTAATTTTTAGGAAGTTATTTTATCTCCATTTACTAGATTTTTTTAACTAAATATATTTTGAATTGTTGGATTATATTGTTTTAAAATTAATATTTGATTAAAATTTTAGAAATTAATTTTATAAATTTTTTGCTTTATAATTTAATTTGCTTATAGTTTTAATTTTTTTATTACTTTCAACATAATTTTTTTTAGTTAACTTAATGTTTTTGGAATTTTTCTCTTCTTAAATTTATGTTTTATTGTATTAAAAAGAAATATACATATATTTTTAATTACGTTCCAATATTAGGAGCTAATTTTCTTTCTTTACTTTTCATTTATTTTTTCTCTTTTCTTACATATTTTTTTAAATTTTGCATTACATATATTATTTTGAAAAGAAAAATTGTTTATTTTAATATAATTTAACTTTGAAGAACTTTTTTATGCGTTAATTTTTTAAATTTTATTTCTTTTTGAATTTGATTTTCTTTTAGTTTTACAATGTTGTCTTTTTTTGAGAAGAAAAATACATTGTGGTTTTAATTAAAAAAAAATTGTTGGTCACTTATTTTATTGTTTTTTTTTTCTATTAGATATTTGTTTTTTTTTTTCTGTAAGAAAAAATCCTAAACTTATAGCTTTTATTGTTTTAAAAATAAAAATAAATTTTTTTTCGTTTAGTTCTTGGAAAAATTAGTGCTAAAAACCAACTGCTGTGGTGAGTTGAAAGACAGTTGCCAGAATTGTCTTGCAAATTTATAAACCTGATATTGGTATCTACCACCTAGAAACGCGCTTCCCGTTTAAACAATTTCATTATAGTTTTTTAGCTATTTTGTAATAAATGTTTTCCTAAAACTTTTGCTATTTTAATTAACACTGAAGTTAGTGCGTCCAAACCTCATTGTTTTTTTTTTAATTATCATATATTTTTTTGAAATTTTACATAACACCAGTAACCTAGATTCATGGTAAATTAGTGTTGTCCCGTACAAACAGGGACAATTAATTCTAGATTTTTCAGGCATATGCGAATATTTCAAAAAACATTTGTGCTTTTGGTTAGTACTTTACTATACAAACAAAATTTACTAGATACTTTGTTTTAAAACTTTTACTTTGCCTTCAATTAGCAGCGTAAACTGAAAAAAAATCGTACAAATTGTACCGTACCAACGCTGGAATGCGCCATTTACAAAACCCTTCATCAATTTGTTGCGCCGGTTAGATATTAAAAGTTCCAAATTATTTTTAGCAAACAAAAGAAAATCGTACATTTTTAATTAAACGCAGCTCTCATTAGAGCATTGTCATTGTTTGGTGAAATTATTTGCATAAAATATGGGTTAAATTTGTAAGTACTAATTACTCTTCTGACATATCAGTATTTTCGTATACGCACGCACACACACACACGCACAAGCAGAGGAAATTTAAAATTTTATGGTGAGCCTGTCTGAATGCTTTAGCTGTTAGTCAAATGACAAAGGAACAATGGGCAGGCAAAATTGTTGTAGAACTTTTTCAACATTTCAGAAAGCCAAAAAAGAGACAAACAAATAAAAATAATAATAATTTGCAAATAAGGCTAGGCAACTAATTCATTGTGTTCGTTGTGTGTTTTTAGTGTTTGAGGATACGATAATGAATTGTACATATGTATGGATGCGAGGGCGTATGCATGTATAGGAGGCCCAAAAATTACAAGGATATATTCTATACGTAAT